GCTAACGTGTACCAGAATTTAAGTTAACTAACAGAAAAGCCTCCCTATGGGCGACTGTTTGTACTAGTAATTACTGTATTGAAAACACAGTTTATCTTAAAAAATGTATTATTGTTCCCTTAAATTAGTACGAGTGTTTTATTAGTGGGTATTTTGCTAAGACTAAAACTTGTTTGTTTGTTTTTTTTCAGATAAAGAATGTACTTGACCACAAGATTGAAGACCGGATGGAATCATTTTTCTTAGCTGAAACTACCAAATATCTTTATTTACTCTTTGACCCTGATAATTTTCTTCATAGAAACGGAGATCACGGAGAGGTTGTTCGTACGATAGGAGGCGATTGTGTTGTTGAAAGTGGTAGTTACATTTTCAACACTGAAGCACACCCTATTGACATAGCAGCTGTTTACTGTTGTAGTGCTGAAAGGAAACGACAAGAGGATGAGCTACAAGATTTACATGATTCACTTAATTTATTTCAAGTTCTAAAAATTTCTTCTAAAACGCCACAGGCTTTTCTTTATGAAAAGTGGCATAACCAGAAATCTCCATTTCAATTAATTGAAAAGGCTTATTATAACTTACCTATTCATAAAGAAATGTTTACCGTTTGGCAGTCTGAAACAGATAACACTGAAAAGAATGTTTCTTTCATGAAAAGTAAAAAGCATCCAGAAGTGGAAGTAAGACAACCAGTGAAACTGTCAATCCCAGACTCCAAAGATGTAGTTGGAGAAAATAACATAAAACCATCCACAAAGATGGCAACCGAGGAGTCTCAGAAACGAGCTACAGAAAACATTCCAACACAGTTGAAAAAAATATCGTTTACAACAACAGAAGATGAACACTCACACCAATTAGATAAAGAAAGTATACCAATAACTACCGAAGAAATATCATCCATAAAGTTTGAAAATGGAAACTTAAAGGTATTAGTTACAGAAAGTATACCAATAACTACCGAAGAAATGCCATCCATAAAGCTGGAAATGGAGGACTCAAAAAGAGTAATTACAGAAAGTATACCAACAGATACTGAAGAAATACCAACCGTTAAGATGACAAATGAGGACTTGCAGGAATCAGTTCAAGAAAGTATCTTAACAAAACAGGAAATAACACCGTCTGTAAAGATAGCAAATATGGATTCGAAGGAATCGGCCACTAAAAGTATCCCCTTGGAAATGGAAGTAAGCACAGCTTTGAAGTTGGAAAGTAAGAATTCACAAGAATTTAGTGAAGCAAGTATTCCAATAGTGTCTTTGTCATATGATGATAAGTTGAACAGAGGAAAGTCTAACGACTTCCATAGTTCAGCAGGCGATCCAACGTTAACTAAGGTTACAATAAAACCAAGTAACGAATATGAAAAAGACGTGGGTTCTAGTCAAACACAAACTGATAGTCAACAAAATGAAGCTAATATTTCAATAGATAAACTCAAAATCTTACAATATTTATCTTTGTTTGTCAAAGATGAAAAGAAAAGTTTAGATTTACTCCAGCAAAAAAACGTTATTCCAGATTTAAAAAGCATTCCATTTTCCTCGCATACTGGACAAGAGAATATAAAAAACGATAGCAGTGTGAACATCTTAAATGTTACTTCATTTGATATGCTAACGTGTCCCGCTCAGCCTTTTACATTTCGTTTCTCTCTATTGGGTGAATTATTTAATACTGACTAGTTGTAACTTTATAAAATAGAAAAGTAACATTCCATAAACATACAAGCATTGTTGAAGTATTCTCATGAAATACACCTGTTAATTTTTTGTTTTTTCAAGTGTACATCAAAGGTATTGTTCTCCTTATAAACCAATGTATATAGTATTATGAATTTATTTAATATAGTTGCTTTAATCAATTCCAGGATTATCCACGTTTATCAAGTTTTTATTTCTGCCAAACATAAAATCAGAAATCTTTATGCATTATTAATAGATTAAACACACACTCGGTATTTCACTTCAGGATGAAGAAACGAATAGTGATGCGAGAAAAGAAAACTGATTTGTTCCATTTTTTTTTTAAGCTTTTCATAAAGTGACTTGTTTGAGCATGCTTCTTATCATAGATAATAAAAGTTTACAGATTTACATGTATTTGTTGATTATATGAAAAATTTAAAAATGATTTTTTTTTCTCGAGAGATAATTAAAAACACTAAAATCTTGATATTACTTGTTAATGTGAAACTGTTTGATAGTATGTTTTAAAAAAAACTTTATCATTGTGACACTTATCAAAAATGTATAGGTAACTTTGGACAATACTGACATGAGTGAGAATACAATGTAATGTTTATAAATACTGTGTACAATTGTTGGTACATATAACTTAATTTTAATACTCATATTTTTCTCTATAAATAATACTACAATAGCAAGAATATAATAGTATTCGGTATTGATTGTACATATAGTTTGGTAAGTATAAGCGGTCATGTATATGTGTGGGGATTTGCTTGTTATCTGAATTGAGTAACGGCAATGGGAAAACTGAGAGTTCCTTTTGTTTCCGTGTAACATCGGAAGATTTTGTATCTCTTCGTTGCGATTTTAATCTCTAATCTGTAAAAAAAGAACACTTTTCAGAATTTCTAAAATAACAAAGTAGAAAGTCCATGACGTTTATTTAATGCTGACTCTTTCTGGTCAACCACTCTCTGTTGTGTTGTTTTTAACCACTCATTTCTAATATTGGATGTAACTTGTATAAATGTTTAATTTAGGCTTACCAGAATGGGTTGTTGGTTATGAATGTTACCAAAAGTATAAAATAAATTTTTTCTTATCAGATTGAAAATAATATTACACGTAAGTAATCAACTGGAATCAACTTAAATGATGCACATAGTAAAAGAAACAAAAACTAGCTGGCTTTTCTCAAATAAAGTGTATTTCTTCTACAAAGATGGTCTGTAGCTTTCACAGATATTATTGAAGGTCTTACATTACAAGCTTTGGTCAAGTTCCTTTTAAAAATATTAGTTTAACCCTTTTCAGAGAAAGACACCACCTTCTCATTTGGTTTGTTTTATTTAGTATTTATTTATTTTTTTACATATTATGTATATTATATCAGAAAGTTTTTGTATACTTTAGGTGCAAACCATAATCGATAATCCATTTTAGTAACTTAAAAATTCACTCTTGTATAATTATTTTTAAAATCTAAAACTGTAGTGCAGTTTTACGTGTTTTAAGCATGTGTGAATTTATTTTGGAATGTCTAAAAAATGGAGCTTGATTTCTATGTTGGCTCTAGAGAGTAGGGAAAGATTTTCAGGTTTTATTATTTAAATTAATTATTTAATCAAACTGCAATGAATCACATTTTTTATGACGCAACTTTAATACTGAGTTTCAACAGACTTCAAGTAGAAAAAGCCCAATAAAGTAGTTTCCAGCTCATGTAGTTTTTCTTCATCTTTGTACATTGTAAATTCACCATTACAAATCTATACAAATGTAGTACTGATAAGATAGGTTCAGTTGTTTTATTAGGTTGAGAAAAAATTAAAGGGTGCAAAACTGTGCGATATAAATGAATATGGGTAAATGTTTATATTTTGAAATTTTCATATTAAATGATATAGAAAACCAACCACACAAACAGTTGTATTTGCAGGATTTATGCTGTTTTAAGGAAAGATACTTACATTAAATGCAGCATTATAGAAAACCAACCACACAAACAGTTGTATTTGGAGGATTTTTTTTAAGGAAAGATACTTACATTAAATGCAGCATGAATCCTCCAAATACAACTGTTTGTGTGGTTGGTTTTCTATATTTTTAAGGAAAGATAC